CAAAACCAAACTGAAAGAATGGAAAGAAAAAGAAATATACAAAAAACCCTGGTTAAAAAAAAAAAAAATCAGAAATATTTATATCCTGCTCTATAGGCTTGCTCATAGAATTCCAACAGTGTTAAGTTCTGCCTCATCCATGTCTTGTCCATTTCTCATCAGACTGTCCTGTTTTTTTTTCTACCATCTTATACAGACTTTGATAAGCCAGGCAACGTCCAAGCCTGCATGGACTCAATAGATGTTTCTTGCACATTATGCAAATGACGTTGCTTGGAGGTTGGTAGCACCAGAGTTGGAACCCTGAACTTCCCGTACCATATTCAAGTAGAACCACTGTGGTAACCTCCCAACTAAAGAAGAGTCTAAAGAAGAAAGTCCTTACGAGCCAGATGAATGGCAAATACAAAGTCCAAACCGTCAACACATATGCTATCCAACTGGTATAACAGCCTGTCAGAAGGAAGAGATAGAAGCCCCTAACATCAAGTCGTGAAAGCTCCTCACAATGTATGGAGGGTTTCACCCCAAGTCCAGCACCCTGACACTATATACTAGAGAAAGATGGAGGCAAATGACTAGTGAGCATCAGAGCCACAGAACAGGATGAAACAACTAAGATCCTGGAGTAAATAAATCAAATACACCTTTCTTATTTTTCATGAATAAGTTTTAAAATGTGAAAAAGAGAAATCTAATCTTCAGCATCTGTGCTCAAATTATGTACTGGGAAATACTTTTAGCTATTTCAATACCAAACTTTAGGTGAATATTTGTAAAACCAGTAGAATTATGGTCTGTTTTGTGTTAGCTTAATGTCTGTGTACATCAATCAATCAACAATGTACATCCACTGATTACTTTCTGCAAGTTCCATTAAAATGAAGTCAAACAAGTTTTTGTGGAACACAATAATAAAAGATTTTCAATGATGAAACTTGCAGATCAGGCGTATTTGGAAAATTATTATTATTTTTTTTTCATTTAGCCTTTATTTATCCAGGTTAGTCTCATTGAGCCATGAGAACTCATTTTCAAGAGAGACCTGTTTAGGGAGCACATGGTGGGGTTAAGGGCCATGCTCATGGGCCCAGAGTGGGGCAAATGAGGGTGGGAGCAAGTGTGGGTGTTTCACCTACCCCACCCACAATTTTTGATGTTGCCGGGGCCGGGGCGTGAACCGGCGATCTTCGGATCACAAGCCCACCTCTCTAACCTCTGTGTCATTGGGAAAAATCTCACCTAATATAGAGAATTCTGTATGTATATGAATGACTACCTACATTATACTGTAAGCCTGCATTGTTTTAATAAAACTGAACTACAGGTTAAATGAGTATAATCATTAAAAGGGAAAGGGAGGCATAAGGAAGTGTTATACAAGATAAGAAAAGCAAGTGGCGTGTTGGATACTAATCAAACAGGAAGAAGGAGTGGTTTTAAAAAGAAAGGTCTGGATTTTAAGTACTGAGTGACGTGTGAGGCATGGCTGACTGCGAAGGGAAGGACGTCAGAGCCTGCAAATGGGTTGCTCCACCCAGAGATAAACAGACATAAACAATGCATCGCCATGGTAACGAGAGGTTGGAGAGCATGACACAACCCATCTGGTAACGAGTTGAAGCCAGCTTCCACCCTTCTAGATGGCATCAACTCATTTTTGCATACTGGGAGTTGTTTTGTTGTTTTTCCCACTGCCTGCTCTGATCATCTGCAGGTCAAGCTGCGCAGTGTGTGATCCTATTTAATTGTGGCCATAAAAAGGAGTTTTAAAACTGTTTAGTTCCAGTGAGTCACCAGATTCCCTTGACGATGATAAACAAATAATCTGGTTGAAGACTGCTCGACATTTTATTCAATCCTCTACAATAAAATTATATGTTCGCAAACAACTCTTTAAAAAAATGCCTAAAAGGAAAACTGAACATCTTATTTAAAGCAAAAGTGGCACTCAAACAGAGTACCAGTACTGCAGGAGATTTAACGTCATTTAATGAACTGTAAATTTCTACTTGCTTTATTTATGATTATTAATGTTGCTTATTTTCTCTATTGATTGTGATTAATGCCTCCTCCTAATTTAGACAATTTATTTCCAAAAATTCAGCTTTACTTTTGTGTGAACATGTCTTTTTCAGTTTAGGCCTCCTGTCAGCTCCACCACAGTGGATAAGAGACAAAGTGGAAATGCAAAGCTAACCTGCAATGTAAATCTGACAGGAATACATGAAGACTTTCATGTTGCAGGTGTTTTATTAAGATGAAAATACAAGACATGATTGCCTGCAAGATGCTGCCAAACACAGCCACCAACTGCTCCCTCCAGACACCAGATCTAACTGAGCAATGTGTGCTGACTCAATAATCTAGATTACTGAGACATATTCTGACATTTGTCAAAGTAAATGAAGCCAAATTAATCACCTTATTGTTAAAGTTGAAGTGTACTTTTAGTGTTCACAGACAGGATGTCCGATGGGCAGGTTTACTTTTCATGACATTTGTATAAATGTTCACAAGTGTGCCAATCAAAGCAGTGATATTTACAATCAATTGTTCAATATTTAAATTGGCATGGGGACAAGTACGGTGAGAGAAAATGATCAAAGCAGGTTTATTGTTGAATTCAAAGGAGCAATCAGGCCAAGAGCTTGTTGGCCTTCAATGAAGCTTTGGCTAACCCATCTGCTGCCATTAGTCAGTGCTAATAAAGACACCCAGCCCTCTTACATTTATTATGACCTAAAAATGATCAATAGACACAATTATACATTTTTATGCAGTCTGTATGAAAATACCAGGGTCAATTATGAGGCCAAATGCAACAAGTGTGACCAAAATAACCTTTCCAACCGGAAGGTTGATTTTCTTTTAAATGTATGATTTTAGTTTTTTTTCTTTTTGTCATTTCAGTGACTCAGATCATAAAGTGGACCGACTTTAATGAGGTCTGGCCCTGATTTGTAATCTATGACTGCTGCTATGTGGATTTAACTCCATTTGAACTTTGTCAGTGACCTACTGGCAGATATCTACAGCTTCAAACAGCCGCATCACAATCATTGCTCGGCCCAATAGAGGTGAATGACTGTGAAGATAAATCAGAACATATATTCATCGCCTCCCATCAAAAGGCAAAGATGGACAATTATCCTTTTGCTTGTGTCTGTCTGTTATCAAAATATCTAATGAACCACTGGACAGATTTTAAAGAAATTTTCAGGAAATTACCAGTGGATGTATCGCTACAACTTACCGTAATAGGATTTGGAGCCAACTCAGTTCAGGATGCCTGCCATAGTCAAATGATTTTAGAAATCACAAAAATGGCTGTAATTTGGTCATTTATTCAGACACTGAGGTAAGATTTGGTGCCGTTGTAGCAGAGTCATTCACAGTACACACTCCAAGTTTATTTTACACTTTAGCAATGACCATTGAAGATAACTGTTTGTATGTATGGATTTTAGGGACACTTTCAGGGGGTAATCATTGAACGTGCATCTACAACTACTACCAGTAATAACTTTTGGAATTGATGCATGCAAGATGGCCCAAGAGTATAATTTAGTCACATTTGCTGATGTTGAACTAAAGTTTGATGATGTAGCAGCTGAGAGTCATCTTCAATACATACTTGGTCTGAGTGGAATATTTTGTGATGTTGGAAGTGATTATGCACAACATTATTTTCTAGGTTTGACCAAAATGTCTACGATTCCATTCTTTCTCAATATAAGACGATCTGGCATAAAAGGCAGTGGGTGACATGCATTTGTTTAAGGAATGCTAGGTCTTAAATTAAGAGTTTTTCGAAAGATCCTGATGCATGCTCAATAATCCAGGTAGCAAAAATCCAAAAAAGTTCAATCTGGTTCTCTGGACATTCAAAAAAACAAAAAAACAAAACAAAGCAAAAAAATCTAGAAACGTTTCGTCTCTCATCCAAGAGACTTCCTCAGTCTGAGGTGCTGTTTTCAGCTCTGTTAGCAGCTGCTATTTAAGAGACTGAGCTGAA